ATTTGATTCCATGGCCTGTGTGAGGTTCAGCAAAATACTCCTCAACTTCCTTGCAATCTTGAATTGTATCCAAGGCAACAAGTTCTCGTGATAGACACGTCGCCCTTCAGCTCCTCCTGCCTCAGGTTCTCAAACCTTTGTCCATAAATGAATCATTCCAAGGATGATTCCATATCGAGTGTCAAGTAGAATTTCCCATTCAGATATGAAAATGCCAGCACTTGATCTGATTATGCGTTCTCTACGTTTCTCTTTAGCTTCCGTTATAGATAGAGCAATACATCCTTATGCAATAACATGATTCAAAACACGGCACTTCAGTAGTACCTCATTATGCTTCATCATAAGAACTGAAGCTCAATCCGAGCTTCTTCACGTACTGATTGTCTGATTCTTGCATCGTGTTCAAGCTTCCACCAGATGGGGACTATCTGCAACCATCAAATTTAAAACATAGCTACAAAGACAAGACCTTAACCTCGCAGTGCATATAGTACATCACATGGTATTCTATGTAATTCTCTAGCCTTGCAGATTCCCTTCACTGATTCCCTTCACTGATCTAACAAACGAACGAGATTCACTGTTTCTAGGTTCAGCGGCTCGTACAGCTCAATACAACACCAAGACTATTCTTTCTAATGTGATCATTCGCATTAGAAAAGAGCTCAAAGAATGGTACATAGATTCAATGGAATCAGTCCTAGATCGGCAACCTTGTCCAAAATACAAACCTAGAGCATCCACAACAGCGGCAACCCCGACCGACCTCCGAAACATTGATTCCGTCAAACCGCCCAACGTAATCTTCAAACACCACCAAGTCACTCAGTTTTGTCACGCCGAAAACCGAGAGGAGTAGCAAGCGGAGCAGCAAAGATATCAACAAGAAGCTCCGGCGAAACAACTGATCGCCGACCGGAGATCGGCCCGTCACGGACACCCTTCCTCGGCCGCCACCGTCCGTCACCATCCCCGAAAATACCGGCACAAGGCTACTTCGCTACTTCTTCGGATTCATCGAGGTCATCGCCATTCTTCCAGATTTTCTGAACCCTCAGTCCGATCAGAGGTGGTTCGCCTGGGATCGTGAACACGTCCGTCTCTAGCCGTTTGAAGCAACCTGTTGGACTCAATTCGAAAACATAGATGGGCCTTTTAAAACGTGCTTTAGAGTAGGCCCGATGGGCCTATTAACTGGATTATTTGGGCCTATTTTTTTCAACAAGAATGTCGCGCAACGCGTCATCATTCGAAGACCACGTCAGCATCACGGAAGATCCACGTCAACTATTCGTCATCACGTGGGCAGATAAAGAACCGGATATACTTTAAGGCATGAATATAAAACAGAATATTTATTACATGCAAAAAAAAAAAAGAATATTTAACTGAAACCCACGGCTGTAATTCTTTAATTAGAGGAATTAAAGATTACAAAATTAAATCACACAACACGTAAGGCCACGTAAGCATAACGACTGATCTTTTATTAATGAACAAAACCCATGAGAGTCTCTTTTAATTCAACCCTTCATCAAGAGATGGAGAACCTTCGCCTCCTGGGCTTGGTAATGTCGACGCCACTGTCGTCATCAATGTTTGAAGTATCCTTAGCTCCGTGTCTGAACGGATTCAGCTTCCCCAAAGTCTTGGAAACCGACGAGAAGAACGTATATTTGCTCTTTTTGCTCAAAGATGAAGCTCCAACACTTCCCTGATTCTTCTGCATATCAGAAACATACATCTTCATCTTCATCAGCTCCGTCCTCAACGCCTCATTCTCCTTCTCCAACGACACATCTTTCTGCAACTGCCCACGAATCTCCATAGCTTCGGGAACGTCTCTGTCTTCTTTGCCGCTTCTGAGCTTGAGATTGTCGTAGTAGAGAGCGTGAAGAACAATGTTGACAGGTAAACGCTTGTTCTGTGATGCGTGGAGACGAGCTTCGTAAGAAAGCTTCAAAGGGTCCATGGAACTGCAGGCTTTTTCGCGTTCGATCTCGTCTAGATTCGGATGGGCCTTCAAGTAAATGTCGACGGCTCGGTAGAGGTCGTCGTCTACTTTTCTGGCGGCTTTCGGGACGAGATTCGCGAATCCGTTGAACTTTGGGATGCTTAGTTCACCGTATGTCGCTATCTCGGCCAAGTATATGTCCACTGTCTTGGCTACTCTCTGAAGAGAAGGAGAGCATTCTCCTCTGAAATGGCCGCCATTGAAGACTCCCACGCTCTTCTCTTTCTCCACGAACGCCGAGAAGATCCTCCTCACGCTGTCCAGATCAAGAAGACGTTCCCCGTCGTAAGTGAACGTCGCCACGAGGAGATCGTCCACCGTCACGTGCTCCAGGACGGAGGAGATCCGTTTCTCGAGCTCGTTCTTGCAAGAAGTGGAGGCTTTGAGGAAGATGGAGCAGCGGAGGAGGCTGCAGAGGAAGTTGATCGGGAAAACGCCTTTCTCTGAAGGTAAGAGAGAGACTATTCCCTCGACAAGATCTCTCTGTTGGGCTCTCGCGTCGGCATCTTCGAGGTCCGAGGATTTGATTCCATGGCCTGTGTGATCTCTTACAAGATCTCTCAGAGATTTCTCTGTGTAGGTGGTGATGGCAGATGCCAAGGCCGAAGCTTTAGCACCTCGTTGCTTCATCCCTGTTAAGACCTCGGCGAAGAAATCGATGTCTAAGATGCAGAGCTCCTCCGTCCACCAGTTTGGAGGCGATCGAGACGGAAACGTAGCCTCACTGCAAGCCTGTTTTTTTTTTTTTCATTTTTGCAGAGGAGACAATAAAAAGACAAGATTCAGAACCAGACTTGACTGAAGAAAGAATTAGAAAGTTGCAGACAAGAATTGTCGGAGAATTGCAGAAACATGGTCAAGGGATTTCAGAGGGTATAAAAAGCTGACCAACCTTGGAGCTGATGACGTCGAGGCAACGTTTGACGATGCCGAGATCTTGAGCGGCGGGGAGAAGAAGCTCGCATGACTTGAGGACGACAATGGCGCCGGAGAGGCTGGAGAGAGCGACCTGCGAGAGGAAATCTAGGGTTCGGCTGGCTAGGTTGCTCTCGCAGTACTCGTCGGTCATCTGGAGGAACTCGGCGGCGCAGTGGAGAGCCGCCACGTTCTGAACGGTGATCTCGAAGTTGACGCCATAGCAGAACTTGGCGGCTTTCTCGAACATCTCCGGACCTCCTGGGATGTCGGAGAGATCAATTATCGTGAGATCTGTGTCTTTTGACTCCATTATCAGCTTCCTGATGTAGTTGCTCTTACCCACAAGCAAGAACTGGCGACAAATATAGGCACATGAATCATGAACGAATCATCATATATGAATATCAGAATTTAGAACCCCATTATATAATCTTGTTTTTGTAATTTCTTTTTGTTCACGTTTGGTTATTCAACGCTGTTTTAAGCATATGGTCAGATCGTGTGTTAACGTATGAGGGCAATCTTTGTATAAAGTTTTGCATGAATTTGAAGACATGGAGGATTAGGATAACAAAATTATAGTTTTAACATATTATGAAAGCGGTCTCATGCAATTAAAAAAAGGCATCTTTGTCGATTTTATTACATCGATTAGCGACATAATTGATTATGGTTACGTAATCATAAGGAGAGAAATGGTAAAGGGTACCTTGTGAAGAGAGAAGCTGGCCTCGCAGACATCAACGACAACATCGGCGGGGGTGTCCTGAGAGGAAACCCTGCACATATCAAACCATGCATTACATAGAGATTATAACTCATTCAATGGACCAACCATTTGGTTATTCTAATTAAAAGTACCGTAAAAAACTATACGTTTAATACCCAAAGAACAAAAAGATGCGAACCCACCATTGATCGGTTCTCTCCATGGCCATGTCCATGTTCATGGGGTTTCCTTCACTAGCCATTGTTAATGCTCTCCCTATCTATATCTCTCTGTGATGAGGGAGACGCAGGCAGAGAGGGAGTCTATATAAGGAAGGAGAAGAAATCCTAATCATATGGACCCATCATTATCATATTTAACTCTCCTCTCTCATTATCTACGTGTTGCATTTGTCGCCTTGTGATTGTTCGTTATCCGCTCATATCTTCGTTTGGTCTATTAGTTTCCCTCTTTTTTCACCTTTTCCCCATTCCCCTTTCCCTACTTTTGATTATTAGGGTTTATAACAAGTGATTAATGGAATAATTTACTCAGGGACTCCCCATATATATGCGTTTTATTTTATCATATAAATGAGGTTAATCACTATGTATATAGAGATAGATAGATACATACGCGTTAGAATTACGTGATAATAAGATTAGATGGGAGGACGGGTCGAAGGAGGCATGCATGTGACAGAGCGGAGGAGACGTATCTGTCGCTTTTACGACTGGCCGCCGTGTTTCCTCCTCAAGCCCGTGGATGCTGCTTCTCCACGTCATCACCCCCGAATCGAGTCTCCCTCTCTTTTCACCAATCAAATTATTCCACGTGTCCATATCTCTTTATTTGATCTCCCAGCATCCACGTAGGGGTCTCAAACGAGCCAGTTCGGATCATTTTGGGTAGGGGTGGCCATTTCGGTTATTAACCAAATAACCGAGCCGAACCGAATCGAATAAGACATAACCGTATCCGAACCGAACCCGACATCAAAACCGAACGGTTATGATTTACTTAAACCCGAAAAACCGAAACCGAAACCGAATAAAAAATAACCGAAAAAACCGAGAGAATAACCGACATTTTCTTTGGAAAATTGAACTTTTTACCAAAACCGAACCGAACCCGAACCGAAAAATAACCGAACCGAACCGAACCGGAATTTATATAAAAACCGAATGGTTATAGTTTTTCTATAACCGAAATAACCGAACCCGAATATAACCGAACCGAACCCGAACCGAAACCCGAATTGGCCACCCCTAATTTTGGGCTCGGCTCATTTGGCTCGTATCGTTTTGGGTTCAGCTCGTTAGGTTCGTTTTCTAACGAGCCAGAAAAACATCGGCTCAGATCGCTCACCAGTTTTCCGATCTGAACGAGCCGGCTCGTTGAGCGAAGGATATATAATATTTTTTATTTATATTTATTTTAAATATAATTATAAATTTAAATAAATACATAAAATTTTAATAAAACATCAATATCATTTAATATTTTCAATTATCACAATCATAATAATTAGTATATTTATAATATCATATAAATAATATAAAAAAAATTAATATAAAATTATATTAGAGTTTTTTATATAAATTTAAATTAATTTTTAAAAAAATATCAGCTCGTTGAGTAACTCGCAAGCTCGCCGAGCCAGACTCAATGAACACGTGTTCAATGAGCTCTGGCTCCTTAGGCTCGTTTTTTAACGAGTTGAAAAAATTACGGCTCACATCGCTCGTTTTCTGGCGAGCCATGAGCTAACTCGCGGGCTGGACTCGTTTTGACACCCCTAATCCCACTTGCCTCTCTGGTCAAACTTTGACTTCCGTGGTACATGCATGTACATGTACGCAGTCCTATCATTTTTCAGAATGTAATGACAGGTTCGGGGATTAGTAATATAACAGTAAATAAAGTAGATGATAACATTCAAATATATAAAAATCATCATATGGTAAGTGAACAATCTTTCAGGATTTTTAGTTATAAAATTAAGAGATATAAAATAATTTAGATTAAATATTTTGATATTTTATATTAAAACTGTATGAAAATTAATATTTTTTTAAGCTTCGGAAACGTTAAAACGCTATAATATTTCCCAATCCAAGTACAGTTACGATCTTTGATTTTTTTTTTTGTATCACATAAAATCATTGATAAAAGAAGTTTTGAGTGATGGTCCTTAGAATACGATATTTATAGAGTACAAAGACGGGAGCCAGGGTTATATATATAATATATATATACTTACTACATGATTGGATAAGCCACTGGAGGAAAGTCAGCAGTTGGGGGATGACGTGGCAAATGGGCTCCGACAAATGAGGACTTTGGGCCAAGTGGATGAAGCTTCGTGGTCCAGTCTTTAATTGTGTTGGCGCTCTCAGTCTCCGTACCTATCCACCTATATTATATATTATTATTATAATTATTATTATTATCCAGAAATTATTTTCATGATTTGTCTTACACACAAACCACCATGCATTTATTTATTTATTTATTTATTTATTTTGGACCATTCATTATTTAATTTTATGGGTTTGGATATAATTATTTTAATTTGAATAAAAAGGGCCCGTTAGGTATGGAAATCGGATTATTAACCGCCCTGCTGTTGACTTTTGACTCTTTTTTTTCCTCTCGTAATTATTACAATTTATATAGACAATTTATTTATTTATTTTTCTCTCAGTCAATGTGCTTACTTATTTTGTGACGAAGATCTTTCATCTTGGTCTTGGTGGGATTCTGTAGTTCATTTGGTGGCACAGACAACCATACAAACAGTAGATATGTCATAGTTATATTCTCCTGGTCCAGTCGTTACTAATAGTTATATAAATTACTTAGCTTTGTCGTATTATAAAAATCCCGTATTAATATACACGAACTTATAAAGAAAATTTAAATAAATACACGGATTTTAAAATTTTCAAATAAATGTTTAAACTCTTCTTAACTTTTATATTAAAATCTAATTTTTAAATTAATAAAATCAAATTGTAAAATTTGAAACAGTTTCAAAAAATTGCCATAAAATTAAAATCTAAATATTCATAAAAACCATCATGATAATATGAGTTTTGAACACGGTTTTAAAGTGTATAATATTAAAACTTCCCTTGTTTTATTATATGGACTTTAGATCATACTTTTTTTAATGTATTTTTTAACCATTATGAGCATCATTTTTCTATTCACACTGATCATATAATTTTAATGGTGTAATCGATATGATTATTGTGACCATTATATAATCTTAACGATGTGATTAATACAATCAATATGACTTTAAAATATGTTATATTGATCATACGAAAAATGATGTAGAAAAGTATTAACTGAAATACAAATATCAAAATTGGCGCTTGTTAAAAGCCTCAATTCAGCATAGCAATTAATAATTTGGTACAATCTTTTATTTAATCATCAAATTGTTATAGTTTCCTTTAACAAAAAAAATATATATATATGTTATAGTTTCGGATATGTTTCATATGCTTCTCCTCTCTATCTATTCCCTGCTGTGTTGTATTGTATCTGCCAACCGTTATTATTAAATGATGTTTTGCATAGATCCAAGAAAGATGATGTAAGACGGCCCACAAAAGGGGAAAAAAAAAGAAGAGAGTAGACAGCATTCCCGCGCCAGCACCGAGAGCTGGGGGAGGGGGGGAACTGTGAAGGCGGCGGCGAGATTCAGACAACCAGTCGCTCTCCATGGATGAACTGGTCAATATCTTGGCAAGAACTCAGAATTGTCGAGCAACAATGTTTTATCATTCGTCAGGTCTTTTACCAAATACCACCAACTTCCCACTACGCAAGTCTTTATCTTCCTCTCCATTCTCCATGATTTTCCTCTCACTATCTCGTCGCCATAGGTTGAGAATCAAGATGTTCTCTCCGAGGGCTTCGTCCTCTGCTTTTCTTGTCGCCGCTTTCCTCTTTTTCTGCAGCTTCTTCTTCTTCGTCGTCGTTCCGGTTTCCGCTCAAGACAATATCACCGACCCTGTCGAAGGTTTAAGCTTTTTGCTAATTCCTTCTCTTTTGGGTTTGATTTCAGACAATATGTATCCTCTGCGATATGGGTTTCTTTCTTCTGATACTCTCTCGCTCACTCTGTGGTTCAGTGAGGGCTTTGATAGACATAAGAAGTAGCTTGAGCGATCCCTTCCGGAGATTGAGGAACTGGGGACGCGGAGATCCGTGCGCGTCGAATTGGACAGGTGTTCTCTGTTTCAATTCCACAATGGATGATGGATACCTTCATGTCCAAGAACTGTAAAGTCTTCTTCACCATCCTGCTCTTGTCGATTCCTCTTCTGGTTGTCTGGTTTTTGAATGATGTTCTTGTTTGAACAAATTTATGGATTTTATCCATTCAGACAGCTACTCAACATGAATCTCTCAGGGAGCTTGTCCCCGGAGCTTGGTCGGCTGTCTCGATTAAGAATCTTGTATGGGAGAAATGTTTTTTGATTTCTTCTTCAATCTGTATGGTTTAATTTGATGCCAACTAGTGACATTGGATTCTCTTTGTTTATGAAAATGCACTTTCTAATGTCAGGGATTTCATGTGGAACACTTTATCCGGGAATATACCAAAGGAAATTGGCAATATCACGTCGTTGGAACTCTTGTAAGTTAGCAGGACTCTGATCATGTATATGTTTGCCATTACTGGAGTGCACTTAGGCAAGGAAGTTCAAGTTTTGTTTTGGAATCTCCATTGTCTCTTTGGTACTTCACAGTTGTAATGAGACACTCTGGTTTTCTCTACATTCCTTCAGGCTCTTAAATGGGAACCAATTAACAGGCCCCTTGCCCGACGAGCTTGGCTATCTCCCGAAACTGGACAGAATACAGATTGACGAAAATCATATATCGGGACCAATACCCAAATCGTTTGCAAATTTAAACAAGACCAAGCATTTGTGAGTGTCGTTTCCTTTCTCCATTGCCATGATTGTTTCCCTTACATAAATTGCATCAATGCTTTTCTTTGGTTCATCTTATCTTCTCCCAGTCACATGAATAACAATTCGCTTAGCGGGCAAATACCACCAGAGCTTGGCCGGTTACCATCACTCGTTCACCTGTAAGTCGGTGTTCGTTTTTTAAAATATCCATGTTTTGTTTACAAGCATGTCAAAATGACAAAATCCTTGTTTTATATATTTGCAGCCTTCTTGACAACAACAATTTATCGGGCTATCTTCCTCCCGAGTTATCTGAAATGCCAAATTTGCTTATAGTGTATGCTTCTTTCCTTCCCTTCTGTACATCTTATGATCTCCTGGAATCTAACTATTGCCATTCTTACTGGTGATCGAAGTTTTTTAGTTCATTTTCATCTTCGTTCTTGTGTTTGTTTATGGCAGTCAACTTGATAACAACCACTTTGATGGGGCCACCATTCCATCTTCTTTCGGAAACATGTCTAAGCTTCTCAAGTTGTAAGTGTTTGTTTTGAAGTCGAGTTTGTTTAAAGTCATCGATGAACATTACGGGCTGCAATATTGAAATCAGCAGTCCGTTTTTGTTTGATTTTGCAGGAGCCTTAGAAACTGCAGCTTGGAAGGACCAATGCCGGATCTAAGCAGGATCCCATACCTTGGTTATTTGTAGGTTTTTGTTTCTTATGTAAATCCCTTCAGTGTCCTAATTGGGGAAATTGGTTTCCATCTGTTTCTGACTTTCGTGCACGATTTCCATTCCAGGGACCTTAGCCGGAATCAGTTGAATGGATCTATCCCAACAGGGAAGCTTTCCGATAATATCACAACAATGTAGGGTCTTTGCTAAATCCCGAGCCATGCAGTTTTTGTTCGGTATCCTTCAACATGCTCTTTAAATGGGTGGCTCTTAAATCTGATATCTTTCGATGAAATTACACGCAGAAATCTGTCCAACAACAGTCTGACAGGAACCATCGCTGCAAGATTTTCAGGTCTTCCCCTCCTTCAAAGATTGTGAGTGTTCTTGCTCTTATTATGGTTTGTGAAATGCAGTTGTTGGTTATAATGTCTTTGGATAAATAAGGCAATAATGGTTTTTTTTCTTTGTTGGCCACTTGATGTTACAGGTCACTTGCGAATAACGCTTTGAACGGTTCCATTCCCTCCGATATTTGGCAGGACAGAGCGTTGAACTCTAACGAGAGTCTTGTCGTGTATATCTCCTGTTCTTTTTTATCTTTGAGCTTCTGCATAATGTCTTTTGTTTTGTCAGAACATGTTTTCATACCTTTCGTCTCTCGTCTTGCAGGGATCTTAGGAATAACGGGTTCTCAAATATTACTGGCCGCAGCTCCGATCTCCCTCCAAATGTGACCATCTGGTTTGCTTCCCATCTTTCCCTTTTCTTTTCCTTTTGTTTTGTTGCTTCTATACATTGAATCATGTACTGTACTTGTGCAGGCTCCAAGGAAATCCATTATGTTCATCTTCAAACTTGATTCAATTCTGTGGAGCTCGTGCCGAGGGAGATGATGATTCACAGGTTTCAACAAATCTTACTGGGGCTTGTCCCCCTTTTGGATGCCCACCACCTTTTGAATACTCTCCTCATTCTCCTGAACCTTGCTTTTGTGCCGCTCCTCTTCTCGTTGGTTATCGATTGAAAAGTCCCGGTTTTTCGGATTTTCTTCCTTACGTGAACGAGTTCGAGAGATACTTGACCTCTGGCCTCAAGCTGAATCTGTATCAGCTGGACATTGCTTCATTCCAATGGCAGAAAGGGCCGAGGCTTCGAATGTTCCTGAAGCTCTTCCCTGTAGTTCCTCCTACCTCTAACGGTTCTCGCATCTTCAATGCTAGCGAGGTTCGGAGAATCAGATCCGAGTTCACGGGATGGAACATACCAGACAGTGACGTGTTCGGCCCTTACGAGCTTATCAGCTTCACCTTGCTTGATGTCTACCGAGATGGTTTGTCCCCTCGAACTTTGATCCTCTCACCATTATCATTTTCTTATCATGCTCATTGATCTTGCAGTGTTTCCCATTTCGAAATCGGGTGTAAGTAAAGGCGTAGTGGTGGGAATAGTTCTCGGGGCAGTTGTCGCCACTGTCACGCTAACCGCAATAATCTCGCTTGTCATAGTGAAGTTCCGTATGAAAGGATACACTCCAGTTTCTAAACGGAAACGATGTAAGTATTCTTCGTGATCGTGCAAAATACGCGGGTAAAAGTCGAAATGTTTCCTATATATTTTCATGTGCAGCTTCAAGGGCACCTATCAGAATCGAAGGGGTGAGGAGCTTCGCCTATTCTGAGCTATCTCTGGCTACGGACAGTTTCAACAGTTCTACTCTTATCGGGCAAGGAGGTTACGGAAAGGTTTACAGAGGGATCCTCGGGGATGGAATCATTGTTGCGATCAAGAGAGCGCAAGAAGGGTCGCTGCAAGGCGAGAGGGAGTTTCTGACAGAGATCGAGTTGCTGTCGAGATTACATCATAGGAACCTTGTCTCTCTTGTAGGGTTTTGCGACGAAGAAGGTGAACAAGTAAGGCACCTCTCCTGTCCTGATTTCCCGTATGTTCGTATCGTTATTTGATTCGATGAAAACGTGCAGATGCTGGTCTATGAGTTCATGCCGAATGGTACCTTGCGAGATAACCTTTCTGGTACGTTTTCGCTTCTTTTCCGGCGTAAGTTCGTCTATGAATGCTCGGTTATGAGATCAATGGAGGAACCATTCTTTTATTACAGTGTTCTTGATGTTTCTGTGTGTATATACGCAAATGTAATGACAGATAAGACGAGGGAATCTATGAGTTTCGCAATGAGGCTGAGGATCGCTATAGGTTCAGCCAAGGGAATCTCGTATCTACATACGGAAGCTGATCCGCCGATATTTCATCGCGATATCAAAGCCAGCAACATATTGTTAGACTCGAAATTCGTGGCAAAGGTTGCGGATTTCGGACTGTCTAGACTTGCTCCGGTTCCCGACATGGAAGGCATTGCTCCAAACCATGTTTCCACTGTCGTGAAAGGAACTCCGGTAAGAGAAAAAAAAACGGATTCCGCCTTCGTTTTTACTCGATCAGACCTCGTTTAACAGCAAATTCTCGGCTCCTGCAGGGTTATCTAGATCCCGAATACTTCTTGACTCATAAACTGACAGACAAGAGCGATGTGTACAGTCTCGGTGTAGTGTTTCTGGAACTACTGACGGGAATGCATGCCATCTCTCGCGGCAAGAACCTTGTCCGAGAGGTTAACACATTTTCCGATGTTTTCTCGATCATAATCTCTGTCTGATCCTTTCTCTGAAAGACTTCGACGAATTGTCAGGTCAATGCTGCGTATCAGTCCGGTATGATATTGTCAGTGATCGACAAGCGAATGGGATCGATCCCCACGGAGTGCGTGGAGAAGTTTGCGACTTTAGCTCTAAGATGCAGCAGAGATGAGACAGAGGCAAGGCCTTCAATGGCGGAAGTGGTGAGAGAACTCGAAAGAATATGGAATCTGATGCCTGAATCTCAGGTTGCCAAAACGGCAGATTTGTCGGAGAGTGAAAGCCAGAGCCGGAAGCCGATGGCGAGTTCACCGTCGGAGTCATCTTCTTCGACGTCGGCCATGAAGAATCCGTACTCGTCAATGGATATCTCAGGCAGTGATCTTGTAAGCGGAGTTACTCCCTCCATAACACCTAGATAGATAGACATAGACATAGACATAGGCGTAGGCATATATAAGCATTATTGTTCAAAGGCTTGTCTTGTCTGAAATTTTTGTTGTTCTTGTACGGTCTTCATGCATGGTGGTGGGTTAGAATTTAGATGCTGTGTATTGAAACGAGTTAGATGCTTTGGACTCTGTTTGTTTGGTTTTCTAATGACAATAAGTGCGTAGATTCGTAAAACCGGGAAATTGATTTTTAAACCGAACCGATTCGTTTGGAGATTGGCGTTGACGCCAAAATTGTGGGAACATCGTCTTGAAAATGTTCGTTCGAAAACCCTAGATCGACAAATTGACGTCGCCGAGCACTTCTCCGATGAGTGCGGGAGTGGTCGATGAAGGTTGATAGGAGCGAGAATTTCAGGTTCGAGGAATTCACGGATACGGACAAGGAAGAGATGATGGAGATGCCATTTTCGTCTTCGTCATCGGCGACGTCGTCTCTCCGGGCGAACGCCATGGGAGCGCCGTCGGCTCAGAGAGATTCTTCTCTTTCCTCTGCCTATTCCCTCTCCCGCTCGAGCTCCTCCCAAGGTCCATTTTTTTTTCGTTTTTTTTTTCATTATGAGGTTGCTATTATTGGATAACCCCGAGTATTTGTTTGGATTCGAACCCGTTTTGCTTGAGCTTTCAGCTGTTTGAAATTTCAGGATGGTTTCTGGGTTTCTCCGAATAGCTTCGTTTGAAAATGTCTTTGTTGTCGAATTCTGCTGTATATGATTCCAATGCAGTTTGCTTCTTCAATTGAACAAGAAGTGAAGCTCCATGAGTAGAGTACAGCTCCCATGCTTCAGGAACTAAGGCGAAGACAACATCAGATACTTTGTCACATCCTTGTCCTGACGTGATTCTGTAGTATACCAATGTGTATTCCTGGTTCTCCTGCAAGATGGCTAGTCTAGGTGAAATTGTGATTTACGATTCTCCGTTTCCAGGAATCTGCTAAGATGGGCAAGAAAACAGAGAGCCCTTCACTGCAGATAAGCTTCTTTACAACCTCTGGATTATATCTTTCTTGGGAGATACATTCATCTGTATCTTGCATTCCATTCTGCAAATACATGTAGGTAACGAGGCATGTTCATTCACATGGTTTTGTATATTTCCTCTTCTTGTCATCACCTTGTTAACAATCTTGTGTCTGAAATTATGCGCCTTTTCCTTCTTCAGGAGGGTTTTACAGCAGTGGATAACAGAACTTGGGGAATCATTCAAGAAGCCGAGTGGTTCTGTTTCATGGGACAAAGCTATAAAACAATCTCAGATGAACCAGCAGAGAATCCCCAGAGGCAAGCGGAATTAGAATTGTTTCATGTAACAAAGCTTATATATCTGTTACCCTTAGCTCTGATATCTTTTCTGGGTCATTTTGGATTAGTCTTCTACAATCTTAATTATTAGACCTCAAAAAGGTGTCTGATATTCTGGTACAGAGACTAACTTTGTTTATATCAGATTCTTTTAGACAAAGGTTCACACGGTATGAGGATAAACTTGTTTTTTTGGGTCATAAAGTTAGAGATGAACTTTTATTTATGTTCTTCATATTCTTCTGGCAGGTTGCCATGGCGAACTCAAAGCTCCTTCTTCGGGAGCTGAAGACAGTAAAAGCTGAACTAGCCTTTGCCAATCAACTATGTTCCCAGCTGGAGGAGGAAGATAAGGTTCTGCAGGAGTGTTATAATAGAGGAGACATCCCAGAAGATGATGCATCGATGTTCTTTCAATCTCATCTTGACCTTTATAATGATCCGGTATTGATGTTCTTCCAATTTCAGTTCATAGATCATCTTAGAAAACATAAAATCAATCAAGGACTGGCTCATTTTTATAAATCTAACTTTCTGTACTCTTAATCTTGTGTCAACCTTCTAGATACGACTTCAACTCAAATCATTACTAACTGAGAAGACTCGGTTGGCTCATGAGAACTCGGCATACACCCGGGAAAAATCGATTTCTACAAGAGGTAGTTGAATATCATCAGTTCACAATGCAGGATGTTGTCTACTCGGATGAGAATATCGAGGAAGTAACCGACCACCTGAATTCATTTAGATTTTCCCCACTCCTCCAAACTCGAAAGCCAGGGATCTCAAATGACACAATCATTGTTCTGTTCTATTCAAGTTGCAATTCAGACAATTTGTTCAACAGGTATGTAGTTTTTCCTAAGATTTAATAGATATGTAAATATTGCATCAATACAATTTTACACTTGCCCCCAAATTACACAGTCAAAAGCAGAAAACTACATTAAACAAATTACATAGCTAACATCTTCTTATTCAATATCATTCCCCATAGTTAATAAATAGCCTTATGTAGAACTCCTTTTTAACACAAATTAGCCTGATATGGTTTCACCAGAGGAACCAGAGAGCCACTGAGGTGCAGTGACATGACTTCATTGGTCGAGCCAATGAGTTTACCGCTGATGAAGACGGCAGGGACAGGCGTGGAACACCCGATCCTCATCAGGGCCTTCTCGATTTCCCGGCAATCAGGCTCCTTGTCTATCTCATGGATCGTTGGATGAACCCCGAGATCTTGGAACAGGACTTGGACCGCATAGGACAGACAACACGAGCTCTTGCTGAAGATAACCACCCCTTTCTCTGACGACATCCTCATCACCTTGTCCATTTCTCGCAGAAAGAAGTAAAGCTAGAAGTGGTTCTTCTTCTGTCTTTATATGGATTAGCAGCAGAGCATTAGAACCGAGAACCCATGAAAGCAAACCTGGGTTTGAACCTAACCAAACCGAGGTTTCGAGTTTCGGGTAGGTGGGTTATATTGCAAATGAGCTCGATGCTGTATGGGACAACAATGGCTCGAAATCCGGGATATTTATAAGCAGAAGAAGGAAGAGCAAGAATCCTCTGTCTGAGAGAGAGAGAGGTTATGAAAGTTGAAGAACTTTCAATAGGTTCCAAGTTCAGTAAAGCAGCTTTACTACAAGCGAAATAATTCGTTCGGACCGAATCCTCTGCCTTTCTCCGTGCTGTCAGGACCAACAAAATTTGCTTATTGGTATTGCCTTTTTTTTCCCCAGTGAGATGCCGAGATTAGCAGCATTTTGATGGATGGAGCATATGGTTCAAGGGTCGGTCCATTAGTCTTGCAGATTCTGCTTTTCGGCTTATTGCAGAAGATAAAGGCATTATGGATGAATATCGTTGGTTGATGAATATATGGACCATCTTCTGCAGATGCCATAAGCATATTGGACCTGTAAAAAGATGGATACAGGTATTTGTGCCCGTAATCTCTGTTGGACCATACTGTAACAAAAACCCTACTTACAGCGTGGTTTTCTTTTATGCACCTCTTTTGATCCTTAAGATTCGATTATCAATAAATGCAATTAATTTCCATATTGTCTTAAAAAACGGCTATGATGAACAGCAAGAGATACGGTGGAGTGGCAAGTGGACACCCATTGAAGAATCTCAAAGAAAAATTTAAAAGGGGAAACAAAGAATCTCAACTTTTAAAATTTTTAATGGAAAAGAATGTTTATATATCGTTTTTTATTGGCCACGAGATGTTCTAAATAATATTTAACCATGAACCGATATCTTTAAGTTCTATACATTTACCGTTCATTCCTGGTTCATATGTCGGTTTTACATTTGCTTGTATTTTATGCTTTTTAGCCCAAATGATAGATCTGATTCAACACTGTTTTTTTCAAAACCCAAACTGGTTCTTGACCAGTCACATCTCTAAAGATATGGTTATCTTTCTTATATTCCCTGCAAAAGAAAGAATCGAAAATCACCGGTAATGATCGGTGGTGGAGCAAATATATATCGGATTCTTGGTGTGCCCATTTCCCTTCCACAAGTTGCAATGATTCTTCATGTTAGAAGAGAATCAGTCGATTTTTAACAATTGTACTTTCTGAAACCACAAACCTGGTTAGGACTTATATATATATATATGATCAGTTTGGTTACTTTGATATATGTCTTTTACCCGTAAAAAAAAGGATTATTTAAACTTTCAACTCGAATTTTCTACGATGTAAGGGAAAATGCGAAGAAGAATTTTCCATGACATATGATACTTTCTGTCTCCTCTTTAGGTTTGATTGCAGATGGATAGATGGATGGAAGGAAGAATCTGTTGGACATGTTTACTGTATTTGTCGACCACACAAGTGTATGTATAGCTTTCCAAATATGAATTTTGGTGTTATTTCGACCCATGACCGCCCGAGGTGAATCCCATAAAGAAAGAAAGAAAGAAATTTGATAGAAATGCCTATTCACAAAGGGTTTCAAGAACAAATTAAAAAACAGTTTTGGAAATCTAAATAATCATGTGTTCTTCAGATCATATATATATATGTGTATATATACACTATATGATATCTCAATCTTTCAAGTGTTTAATAGTGAAGAACAGAGAAATAGTATGAAAACAATTAATCTCATTCACAGATCTTTGTCTCAAGAGATTCATGACTTAGAACATGTTTAGGTTCTTGCACGTGAGAGGATTATAGAACAGGTTAGCCAGTGAGTTCATCTTGTTTCTTGCACTTTGTGAATCCATAACCGGTTTGGGCCGCATCTTAAGATGCCGGGCCTAAACCGGCCCGATATTCTTTGGATATGTTACAGATATTTTCCTCTTTTGGATATGTTGCACGGTCGTTTGTTTTTTGGATTTGTTTTGTAAATATAATTATATTGCATTTCAATTACATTGTAGATATAAATGTATTATTTTTAATTTGGTATGCTAGTATGTTATCCTAAAAGATTTATTATTATTATTATTATAAAAGAGCTCTCTTCATTCATGTGTTGCATTTTTCTTATTGTACTTTGAAATGTATGTGATATATCATAGATAAATCTTACATCTTTCGAGATATATATATATATATATATATATATCGAAATACTAACATAGTCTAAGCTTGTACCAATTCTATAAACTAATATTAATCAGAACGGATCATAAATAATGGGTTTTTAAAATATATTATAAACTTCTAGCACTACAAAATAATAAAAAAAAGCAATATGATTGATTTGTGATATCCTTTATATATATATATATATATAACATAGCAACTGCCACCGTGGCATGGGAACATAAACATGACGTTGGTGGGGACATCAAAAGATATGCTATTATTGTTATCTCACACGGACCAACATAATAATTACCATACGTCTTTTAAATGGAGATTATGTATTAATGTTTTTAGATTTAATAGCTGTTAGATTTGTAAATATAAATTTAATATTTATCAACCGGTACATTAGAAGCTCGTGGCCAATTTTTAAAATTTTTTTAAACGTGGGAAAAGAACACGTACCCGATTATAGACTAATCAACGCATACTACAATTTTCGAGAAGGTACTTATTGTCAACTATTCACATGAATATTTTGATTAAATGCTGCTCTATCAGTGATATTTAATTATAGTAATATGATATTTTATGTCTGGTTAATTTAATTTAATGGATCGGTATCAAAAGAAACAAAATCCGGAAAATGAAAAAAAATTACATATTGTAAAAACAAAATATTAGGAGGAGGCCAACATAATATGGAGGACCATATCTTAACATAGCGTTATATCATTGCTAATATTCAATACGTTCATTTTAACCAAAAATAAATAAATTAATACGTTCATACATATTATATAATGAACATATATATCCACATGCATATATATATATATATATATATATAAAGGAACTGTTTCGTACCATCCCTTACGCAAGCTCCAAGCTCTTCAACAATGGAAACTACTTCTCTATCCCACAACCTTCTTCACACCTCCACATCTCTCAGAAGTCACTTCTCCTCTCCTCAATCTCGGTTCCCGGCTAACTCAACCCTCAGATTTCCGGTGGTATCGCCGGCTGGAATCACCGCGAAATCACTCTCCAGAACTAACGAGAGTTCTCTCTCCGCCGTGATCTCGAAGCTCGAGCGAGAGAGGAACGAGCTAATCGACGACGCCGCTGCCGCCGACGGGGAACGTTGGATGACGGCGGAGGAGATTCGACGGCGGCACCGGAAGGCAGAGGAGGAGAAGAGGCTGAGGGACACGTGGCGGAAGGTCCACGGCGAAGACGATTGGGTCGGGTTACTGGATCCGATGGATCCGGTTCTCAGATCCGAATTGATCCGTTACGGCGAATTGGCTCAAGCTTGCTATGACGCCTTCGATTTCGATCCTTTCTCCAGATACTGTGGAAGCTGCAGATTCACTCGCCACAAGTTCTTCGAATCCCTAGGAATGGCGGACTGCGGCTACACGGTGGCGCGTTACCTCTACGCGACCTCCAATATCAACCTCCCGAACTTCTTCAAACGATCGCGGTGGCCGAAGGTGTGGAGCAAGAATGCGAATTGGATGGGATACGTCGCCGTCTCCGACGATGAGACCTCCCGCAACCGCCTCGGTCGCCGCGACATCGCCGTCGCGTGGAGAGGCACCGTCACGCGCCTCGAGTGGATCGCGGATCTCATGGATTACCTCAAGCCGGTCACCGGAAACAACCTCCGGTGCCCCGACCCGGGCGCCAAAGCCGAGTCCGGGTTCCTCGATCTCTACACTGACAAAGACGAAGCCTGCAACTTCTCCAAATTCTCGGCCCGCGAACAAATCCTGACTGAGGTGAGTTGACATTTTCACTATGTCCATCATCCAATCTCCAAGAAAAACAAACAACTAAATTCCGAACAGGTGAAGCGAATGGTGGAGATGCACGGAGACGGAAACGAGGAGATGAGCATAACGGTGACGGGTCACAGCCTGGGAGGAGCACTGGCGATACTGAGCGCGTACGACATAGCGGAGATGGGACTGAACAGGACGCGATCCGGCCGGGTGTTGCCGGTGACAGTGTTCACGTACGCAGGCCCTCGAGTGGGGAACGTGCGGTTCAAGGAGAGGATGGAGGAATTGGGGGTAAAGGTGCTGAGGGTGGTGAACGTACATGACGTGGTTCCCAAGTCACCGGGGCTCTTCCTGAACGAGCGTGCACCACACGCGCTCATGAAGATGGCCGAGGGTCTTCCATGGTGTTACTCCCACGTGGGCTGCGAGCTGGCCCTCGACCACCAGAACTCGCCATTTCTCAAACCTTCTGTTGATCCTTCCAATGCTCATAACTTGGAAGCTCTCTTGCATCTCCTTGACGGGTAATTCACTTTCACTCTCACTATTTTCCCTTCTTTTTTTTTAAAGTTGGATAAACGAAACATAGATAAAAAAAAATAGAAAATCATTCATTCCAAGTTTATCGATTTCATATCTAACGAAATTAACCAAGAAACCGTAGCCGAGTAGAATAGCGTAGTTGGTTGAGAAGAAGTGATTGCTTCTCTTCCAGATCCCGTATTCCAACCGTGAGTTAGGAGGAGAAACACGATTTAACTGCGATACAAAGACGATTTTTTTTTTTTACGATGGTAAACGCCTATCCTACAACCCTTCGGGTCGGACACCGAACACCGCAATGCCTCTCAACTCATGGGCCGGACGAAAACGACATCAGGACAACATCGCGAACCCGAGAAAACCCACTGCCCTACGCAGTAGTTGGCAAACCACGCAGAGCATGTAAACCAACCTAAAGCTGATGGCTCAAGGGGAGTTCCATATCTAGGTGACTCCCCAAAGACGAAATTTTGAATATTTAAGAGATATTAATCAGGGCTAAAATGATTAGTCACGTTTCAAATTGACCCTACGTGTGGAAATACTAAAGGAGAGGACAGGGAGATAACTGATAAGACTCTGACAAATGACCAAATCTTAAGAAAACGACAAAAACACTGTGGAAAATCTTCCACAGCCTGTTCGATAAAATTGTTAATATATTATATTATACATATGTACGTAATCTCCATTTGATTACACGTAGAATTATATATAGAATGTTAAATTGTGGAATCAAATCTCTCCTTGTTATCTTCCGGTTCCTCTCATCTCCGTTGACTCGAATATCACATGGATCTCGAGTTCTTAAAATAATATATAACTATCCTTTCCTTTCCTGTTTCCTAATTTCATAGGCGTAAAAAGAGATCATGCATTGATAATATATATATGAATTTTGAAATACAGATATCACGGGAAAGGGCAAAGGTTCGTGTTGGCGAGTGGAAGAGATCCAGCACTGGTGAACAAAGCTTCGGACTTCTTGAAAGACCATTTCATGATTCCACCGTTTTGGCGTCAAGACGCGAACAAGGGAATGGTTAGGAACCACGAGGGGCGTTGGATTCAGCCCGAACGCCTTCGAGTCGAAGATCACCACCCTCCCGACATCCATCTCCACCTCTCCCAGCTCCGCCTTCTCGGCTCTTAGCCATTTACTCCCTCCATGAGATCGATGCTGTACCATAAAATCGGTTTCAACGGTGAATCAGTCCGGTTCTCCTATATCAGATGGCCAAAGGGATGTCTCTTCTAGGGGACATAACACTCCGATGTTCGTGGTCTTATGCCGCCGACGTTCTTGTACATGGCATGATCGTATCTACATATGTAAAAAGAGCTAATCGAAGAGAAGATGCCGAGCAAAGTGTCTCCTTCTCATTTCATACAAATGTATCGTTCCGTTTCTAGGTACGTGCATGAGCATGTAATGCAATGAAATGCATCTATGATGTTGATCCCTCCTACCGCATGAGGGATTGCTCCTACTTGCTTTGTAAATGCATAAGATCACATATGTGATTTCGGGACTGATGTGAATCACAACATTCCACGTCTTTTTCGAGAACAACGACCAACTGGGATTTGTTTAAATTATATGTTCAAGCACGAGACAGAGAGAGAGAGAGAGAGAGAAGGCTGAATATAGTGGGGGGGAGGGAGAAGTGGTTCAGAGGGAAAGACCAGATTCCTCGTCCTCCTCGAGAGAGGAAGCGTAAATGAAGTAAAAAGCCCAGATGAAACCGAACACTCCGAACAGAATCCATCCCAACAGGTTGTTGCTCAGACCGAAGGGAAGTCCTGTTCCTTCCGTCGACATCCTCTCGTCCACCAGAGCCATTGCGGGGCTGCTCATCACGGCCGTCAATAACGCTGCTGCCGCCGACGCTCCTGCTCCAGCCGCTGTGCTGTTCGGCTGCTTCTTCTCCATCGAGCATCTCACTCCGCTGCTCCTCTTTCCCCCCTTCTTCAAGGACAGGCCTGATCAACAACAGCAGAGTTTTCAGACACTCTGTCAAATCCGATTGGTTAACCAGACTGCTTTAGATAAGACTTGTCTTGCATCTCAAAGGTGATGATACCGAGTTCAGGTGCAACTTACTATGGATGTGTTGCCTTTACAATAGCTATAGCTATCTTCAAGGATCAAGATCCATTCCTTACAGTTAACAGCATATGCTGGTTTTACATGGCACAGATGGTCTAACTTTTTTTTTGTCTTATATGAAATATCAATCATGGATAAGGTTACCTATGGTGGTGAATGGATCCTAATGTTCGAAGATCCAAAAGTTTCTAACCAATAACTAGTCCTAAAATCAACAAACATTTCAAATCCAAAAGGGGTAAGAAAGAAACCGAATGGAGTTTTACACTACTATGTCTAAGTGATGTTGTTGAGAAGATGAAGATGAGATTACAGAGGAGGTGAATCTTACCGACGACGGGTGCGACAGAGGCGGCGGAGGAAGGCTTGAGGAGAAGTCCGGCGCCAGAGACGGCGGAGGAAGTGGCGGTGGCTGTGATGCTTGCCATTTGTGCTGTGTTCTTTTGCTGTCAAACTCAAGAGTGGAAAACCTGATCAATCCTATAAAACCAACCCTCCTTTCTATATTTCTTTTTATGTTCTATGGGCTTTGAGACGGACGCAAACTAGTGGTCGGAAATCTGCCCAACCCACAACACTCCATCTACTTGGATATGCCTCTTATCCCATCCCCACTAACCATTTCTCTCCACGTGTCACATTCCATCCTTCCAGCGGCATAACCTAACCCACCTTATCTCCCACATCGAACACCGTTAAACTAATCTATTTAACACAGAGATATGGAAAAGCTAATTAGCTACATTGGAACATTGAGCAGATTTTTTTTATGTATGTATGTATGTATGTATGTATGTATGTATGTATGTATGTATGTATGTATGTATGTATGTATGTATGTATGTATGTATGTATGTATGTATGTATGTATGTATGTATGTATGTATGTATGTATGTATGTATGTATGTATGTATGTATGTATGTATGTATGTATGTATGTATGTATGTATGTATGTATGTATGTAAGAATGGAATTGAACTTATTTTGCCTTTTGCCCTTTCTTTTTAAGAAATGGATTGGATTGGTGTTATCAAGCATGGATATTGCACTGTTGCGAGTAAGGGTGATGATAAGGGACGTGTCTGCTCCAGTGCCCTTTGTATTTACCCATCCCTATATCCAACCACGGCTTCATTATTCCGTCGTAGTGTATGACCTTAGCTTGCTCTATCTCCGCCACTTTCACTCCGGATTCGTGCCCTTAACCCACTAAATGCCATCTCATTTCCAACGGTATTACTTTCTTGTAGAATGTCGTCCAACCTATTGGCATGCTTCCCGCCTGAAACAATTGCCTCTTGGTTCCCTGCAAGTTTCCCACCATATATGTTCAAAACCCGAACAAAAACCTCGTCCATTCATCACGACCCATTGCCGATGAATTGAGAGGAGTCTAAGCATGAATCTTGATGCAGTATGATGCTTACCAGGTGCACGTGTTTCATGTACATGGCGGTCAACTTCTGCCTTCTCCACTCTCTGAGATCAAATAGATAAGCATCATACTGCATCAAGTTGACCACTCTCTGTTTGTGATGAGTGGCGGTCAACCTGTAGTGATCACAGAGGCTTAGTTATACGTAAAAATGATTACTACAGGTTGTTCTTCGTTCTTCCTCGCTTTTGTGATCCTTTCCTGAAACGATGGTGATAACGTATAAGAAAGCTTCCAAATTCCAAGTCAATCAATGACGGCAAAATAAAACAAAACTAAATCTGTGGTAGCCATCCCCAATTTCTGCGAAAGCCCCTGTTTTGCGGTCCTCATTAGACAACTTAGCATCGCCACTTTCATCAGAAGAACTATACTGAACTAAAGAATTAAATTCCTCATCCTTGAACAGGATGAGTTTAGGGCCTTTAAGCTCCACCAAACCTCCTCCGTCCTCCTAAATCACAAAACATACCCAATTCAATTAAATGAATGCTCAAACAAGAGCAAAGCAGACGATTGGAGCAAATTGGTGGTAAAGCTACCTGTTCAATTGCGTTAAGTCTAAGGTCATTCGTCCTACTGTATCTCTGCAGAGTAGCAGTAGCATCTCAGCTTACGTTCATTGCTTAGTTAAAATGCTAAGAAAAAAAAAGGAAAAATATAGTAAAACTACAATCCCAAGTCTTGCATAACTCAGCACCACAGAAGAATGTCTCATCGGTTTCCATCAATCAGAAAGCGAAAAATTAAAGATTCTGATTTTTCTCTTAAAAGGAACAGGAAAGAGGAAGAACAGAATTCACGTACAATGTTCGATAACTCTTCAATGAATTCTCTCCGACCTGACACAGATCAGGAATCAAGATCAAACCAAAGCTCAGATGCAAAGCACAAGGCAAAGAATATGCAAAACGAAAAAAAGAAAAAGAAAAAGAAAGTCCATGGCGATCCACGAGATTCCATTAGAGATCAGAACGATTAACCAACACTACACAGGATCGTCGACTATAGTAAAGCCATATCAATCAATCCTACATTCGCCACAACAGAAACATATGGAAAAATGAAGAAAAAGGAAAAGTTCACCAACGGAAGTGATGCTCTTGAGCCGATTGGAGACGAAAACGATAGGAGCCAACACAGATAATGATAGCAAGGAGAGGATAAGAATCCCCTGCCACCGACGAACTTGCCTCATCAATATCCGAAAATACAGAAAACTCTTCAAATCTATTCTCTAGTATCCCTAATCGTTCTCCAGGAAGAAGCACATCACACACAGATTCAGAAATGGCGGAGATTCCCTGTTTGATGGAGGAGCAGCAACGATGAAAATGGCAAAGAATTAGGGTTTCGGGAACTCCCTGATTTCGTTTCTCCTTCAATGCAGATTCTTTTCTTCGCCTTAAATGTCCGGTGAAAGGATTGGGGGGAAGGAGTTGCTTCGTTGCTTGTTGTCCGGGTTTCACCGCTTTTTCACATTTTGATTTTAATTCCAATAAAGGAGGAAAATTTTATTTATATAGGTTCTTCTGGGGTGATGACGATCCAATGTAGGAAGGTGCAACGTAGTCTCACATTTATGACCGTTGATTAAGATGAAAATGATTTTCTTTTCATGAGCGGCTCAGATGAGATTTCATGTCGAAACGTTTAGTGACCCTTTCGAGGGAGGTAAAGGACAATAAAGGAATTTCGTAGTTTTAAGCTGAAAAATTGTACTATGCTACTTTGTGACAGTTCGAAAAGATGTAATTTAAATGCACCCTCATATATTATAAGCAAAACATTAGTTATTAAATCCCTTTAAAATTTTATTTATTCCTATGTAGTTTCTTATTCAGCAATTTAAAGGATATTTTATTCAATTTCGTTGTATTAAATCCCTTTAATTTATCCCTCCATGTATTTTTAATTTTTTATATTTGACAAATGAATGGAATATTAGTGAAATAGTAATATCTAATAGCTGGAGTTTTGCAGCCCTAAACATTTAACACAGTTTTATTTCCTCGGAAAAGCCCATACACAAAAACATACACAGGAAGAAACGGGGAAAAGGAAAAAGAAAACTCTCCAGGCTCTTTCTCTTCTCGACGACTACGAGAGCCTAACCCTTCTCTCTCTCTCTCTCCATCGATTCGGATTGCTTGTTCAATTAATACCCACCTTCATCTTGTCTGAATTCCACGTCATTTTTTCATGTCTCACCATTGACAATCCCCGATCTCCCCCTCCTCCTCGTCGTCGTCAGATCACCAGGTTGTACGCTATTCTCAGTCAATCTCTTGCATATGATTGAGATTCTCTCTCCTTTTTTCTCAACCCATATCGGTTAATCTCGTCTCGAGCTGTATTATCCGATTTGGCTTTGAATGCCGATGGTCCTAAGGAGAGAGAGTGAGGTATGGACGTGAATACGGTGCGTTTCGGGGTCGTCGTCTTCGTCCACATGCAGTTTGGGGTTGGTACGTGCGCTTGAGCCACGAACTGTCGTCTAGAGAGAGCAAAGGGAATAAAGGGTGAGAGGAAGAGATCGATGGCGACTCAGGTGGCGAAGGTGAGGAGGGAGACGGTTGCGGCATGCATGACCTGTCCTCTCTGCGACAAGCTCCTCCGCCACGCCACCACCATCTCCGAGTGCCTCCACTCGTGTGAGTTTCTCCGTTTTCCCAGCTTCTTCTTCTGAAATTGATGTCTTTTACGCTCCTCTAATCGTTTGATTATCTGGGTTTGTCCCATTTAGCCTCGTAGCTGATGTGGGTCGTTCTTGTTTTCCGAACTCATGATGATTGTAGGTATTAATCTCTTGCTTTCAGTTGATTTTTTTTTTGTTTCTCCTCGTTCATATCGACCGAACTATTGAAAGTATTAGTCTTGTCGATGAGTTATTCATTCAATTTCGTAAACAAGAGTCGTCATTGACCAAAATTTATGTACTCTCTTGCTGTCAAAGATGGCATGCGGTCAAGCCATGGTTTTGGATTTGGTGTAGTTTATGTTGTCGTCTTACCACATGAAACGTGTTCTAAGGTCCGGTTTTGGTTAGCATGGCATGTTGTTGTGTCTTGCTGGTTGGGTTCAGGTTTAGTTTCATCCTCACTTCTTGGTTCGGCTTCTTCTATGTGAAAGCCCGCGTGTATGTTGTGTATTTGATGTCCACGTACGTATGAACTTATGGCTTGGTTTTGTGTGTATATCATTTAAATTTTCCTGTACTCGAGTTGGATGATGTGTATGGATTCCTTGTCTCCTGTTTGTGTTACCATGGATGAAATCTTGGGTACTCCTCTTTGTGGAAGATCTCAGGTGTAAGTTGTCTATTTTGGCTGTATTACCTTCTACATGATCATGAGATGATAAGAGAATCTTCGGCCTAATTGAACCATAATCCATTTCAGCATTTTTGTGTATATTTTGTTGGAATGATCATCACTTTTTCCTTTCTAGGATGCTCACTCAATCTACTACTTCAGACTTAACAAAAACATGCTAGAAATAGCTTTTCATTGCTGTTTCTCCAATAAATTTTCCTTAATTGCTTGTAAACTGATGCATACATCATTATGCACTGTGGAGATAAAATTAATTTACAGATTTCTGTTAATACTTTGATCTTTTCGTTCCTTCTAATCCGAGATGGAAAATGGTGATGCTGTGTTTCGATTGTAAAGCTGAGGATTTCCCTTCAAACACTGTAAATGCCCAATGAAGATCAGATGTAAAAGCAGCAGCCTTTGCTTTTCCAGAAACAACAGAACACCCTGGACCTGTTTTTGATGCTCTGAATCCAATAGTAGATGTTTCTCAGCATGCATTTGGCAAGAATTTTGAGCTTGGTTGGTGTTCAACTTTGAAAAAATATATGCAATTTAATCTAAAATGTGAAGTATATTTTTAATTTATCCTTTTGACATTTTAGAATAGGCATCTCTTTTTTTGGTATCATTTGAGGTCTTAGAAAATGGTAAGATCCAGTTGCATTCGATGCAAAGTATTGTGTTCTTATCTGAGATCTCTGTCGAAATGCAATAAGTTTTTACTTTACCTCCCCTTGCAGTCTGTAGGAAATGCATTTACGATAAAATCACAGAGGATGAGATAGAATGTTGTCCAGTATGCAATATTGACCTCGGTGGCACCCCATTGGAGAAATTGAGGTAGGTCCATCTCCTCCTCTGTCTTCCTTCCGGCAACTCTCTCTTGTTGATGATGCTTGGTTTAATCTTGTTTGTTTTTAGCACTCGCCATTTCCGAGCTCATTAGTCACACAACTATAACTTTGGTTATCAATTATTTTTGTTCTTTTGATCGATGGAAATAAATCATAGTAGTAACCTTGTGCTCTGGAAAGATTTTACATTTTGGGAATGTTTGGATGTACCAAATTTGGATTTTATCGGGCTTTATCATCCGGATGCTGGTTTTTATTGGCTCATGCTTGAAATGCCATGAGGAGTCTCTTAACTAGAAATGGAATGAAATCTCTGTTATCGTCTTTCCTTACTAATTATACATGCATGGAAACCTTCTCGGCAAATGGTACACTTTTATGCCATGTTTTTTTTAGGCCTGACCACAATCTGCAAGACTTGAGGGCCAAAATATTTCCTCTAAAACGAAGAAAGGTTGAAGCTCCTGAAGTTGTCCCCTCTATTGCGTTACCCCCGAGGAGAAAGGAGAGATCGATCTCATCCTTAGTAGTAAGCACACCTAGGGTTTTAGCCCAAACCGGTTCAACTGGAAGAAGAGCCAAATCTTTCACAAGAAAAGATTTGCGTGGTAGCAGTTCCTTGGCCGATAGAATCGTCAAGAAAGAAGAAGACGACGATCCAGAAAGCACGAGCTCGCCGGAAACTTTGAACAAGTTTACTCTGAACAAAAGGCAGGTAAAGAAGGTGATTAATGCTGACTCTCTCTCTCTGTTTGCTATGGCTTCCATTTCGTTTTGGCAGAGTTTCATTTCAGGTATAAACCTTTGCTCTTCTTTCAGTGTCAGGGTTAATATCACTTCCGGGTGACAGATATTCCCATCTTAATCCTTCTGTTTAAGCCATTAATCATTCTAAAGCATTGTTCTTTGAAATTACCAAGTGTAGAATGGTGAAGTATAGTTGCCCTTGTGTTTACATATTCTTTTTGCAGGCTTCGTATGCAGATCATAATCTTTCCCTCTGTCGTCTAGAGAGAGCAAAGGGAATAAAGGGTGAGAGGAAGAGATCGATGGCGACTCAGGTGGCGAAGGTGAGGAGGGAGACGGTTGCGGCATGCATGACCTGTCCTCTCTGCGACAAGCTCCTCCGCCACGCCACCACCATCTCCGAGTGCCTCCACTCGTGTGAGTTTCTCCGTTTTCCCAGCTTCTTCTTCTGAAATTGATGTCTTTTACGCTCCTCTAATCGTTTGATTATCTGGGTTTGTCCCATTTAGCCTCGTAGCTGATGTGGGTCGTTCTTGTTTTCCGAACTCATGATGATTGTAGGTATTAATCTCTTGCTTTCAGTTGATTTTTTTTTTGTTTCTCCTCGTTCATATCGACCGAACTATTGAAAGTATTAGTCTTGTCGATGAGTTATTCATTCAATTTCGTAAACAAGAGTCGAACCTTTGAATTTTCTCGTCGAAGTGGCAAACAGGACAAAACCGTTGAAGTCTTCTACTTCTCAAGGTTCGGACGTGAAATCTGAACAGGCAAATGTGGCTGAAAATGAAGGTCAAGCGAGTAAAATTAAAACCAAGGATCACAAAAGTAAATGTAAAGTCGAGGACGAGAAGAATAACATCGGTCATCCTGTAACAACATCGGAAACAGCTACTCCTAAAAGATTGCGTAGGACTCGCCGGAAAAGGTCTGCCTCTTTTGGTGATTCAAGAATTCCTCCACACCCAGATTCTCGAATTGGAAAACGGGAGAGGAGAAATGGTCCCGTTTGGTTCTCCCTTGTTGCATCCAATGATCGGTATAGATCCGTTCTCTACATTTGAAGATTCAAGCATTCGATATTTCGTCGTATCTTTCTCTTTTTCGGTTCTGTTTTCTTGGTTTTGTCAACTTGGCTTTGATGGTTTCAGGGAAGGAGAAGCATCATTGCCTCAAATTCCGTCAAACTACTTGAGAATAAAGTGAGTTTTCTTCTCTCGGTTTTGTTTCTCATTCTTAATTGTGATATTCGTTTGCTCGGTGAGTGAATGCTAGAGTAGCACGTTTCTTTTTTGTTGAAATGTGAATTGCATTAGTCAAAAAACTTTCTTGAGTTTCTTACACAAAACCGAAATGATTCGGGACTACCCAAGAAAGATTCATTTCCAGATTGATGGAACCAATCTGTAAGAAGTTGATAAGGCTGCTGTTCTAAGTATCTTGAGCATTCAATGCAGTTAATTGTTTACCCGTTTTCTTGATAACCCTTGTGTTGTCACTGCGACTTACTCCAAATTCTGAATTCTGATGCCATCGAGAGATAATGGCGATGTCTTGTTTTTTTTTATGTGGTAGGGATGGAAATATTCCGGTCTCTTTTATCCAAAAGTATCTCGTGAGGAAGCTCGATCTCGAGAGCGAGACCGAGGTTAGCGATCACCTTTCCATGCAGTCGCAACTACTCCTTTTCAAGACCCGTATCCCATTTACATAACATCATATTTCGAGGTCTTTATTGTATCGATACAAATGCATAGATCTCGTACTTTAGCAGGATATCGGGTGATTACGGGAAAGAAAAAGGCGGGTTTTAGCAGTCGGACGAATGCGGAATAACGATGGTTGCTTCTCTGGTTTTGCAGGTAGAGATAAGATGTATGGGAGAACCAGTGATTCCGACACTGCAGCTACACAGTTTGGTGGATCTATGGTTGGAAACATCGTCGAAACACCGTCGGGTTGCTGCCTCGGTAGGTTCCTCGGCCAAGGATTTCGTTATGGTTCTCGTCTACGCTCGAAAGCTACCCGAACCGGACGAGTCCTAGGAGAAAAAATCAAGGATTTGTTTCGCTGCCGAAGGTAATAAACCTTGAAGGAGTATTTCTTCAACATGGCCTGAAACCACAATCTGAAATTGCAAAGATAAGTTTGATGTTTGTACTGTTTTCATGAAGTTGTTTCTGTGTTTTTTTTTCTTACAGAACATCAGTTTCTTAGGCAGATGTTCTTGGAACTTTGGGACATCATTGCGTTGCGTGTAAGATGAGGAAATGCTGTCATTTTTATGGAATTTTTTGTAGGGTTTTATAAATTTAATCAAAGAGAAAAAAAAACATAAACTTTTAAATTTACCATATAAATACACGTCATTGCGCGTAAGATGTGATCATATTTATAAAGTTTATGTATTTTCGAAAAAGTTGATAAACTATTTTTGTACGAGTTTCAAAGTTGATAGTGATTTCTAAAAGTTTAATTGAGTAGCTTAATCTAATTAATCGAATTAGAGGCGGATGTTTCGGTTTTTTGATAATTGTTCGGTTTGTTTTTTTTCTATAAAAATATATACGAATCAGTTATTATTTAATATTTGATTTGATTTCAATTTTTATTAAAAAAATATATATATATTTTTTAAAAAAAAATTGGTTTTTAAAAATCCGATTCGGTTTAATTCCACGAAAATGAGTTATATATTTTGATTCAATCTATATTTATAAACTATTTTTTTATAATTCGAAACTATTAATTTTTTTTTATCTAATTCCATCTTTCAAAAGATGGAAAAAATTTAGGTGAATGGTCTTCTCCAAATGAATATATTATGTGTGGTCCGAACCATTAATAGTTTTCTTCTAGTAATGAGATGGGAAAAATATCTATTATGTTTGGTCCGATCCATAAATTATATCAAAACAACCGTTTTATTCAAAATGTGTGGGCGTCACATAAATAAATGAACGATATAATTAATTACTTAATCTTGTAAATAATTACACTTTGATCCGCAAAAATCATACTGCCGCTGTGGCATTTTACCAAGAACGGTTAGTGCAAATTTTCATCAAGCAAATCATTTCATACATGGTAGAAAAATATACCGTCAAAAAATGCAAGAAATATTCGAAAGAATTTTGATATTTGTTACTATTATCTCATACTGTTTTCTTGAGCCAAATATATTAACAATTGCTCGTGGTCATTTTGATTATTAATCGAATTGAATCTAGTCGAATAAGATATAACTGTAACCGAATCAAGTCTTACACAAAAACCAAACATTATTATTTCTTTAAATCTCGAAAAAAACGAATCTGTACCGAATAACAACATAACAAAAAACGATTTTTTTAAATGTTTTTACTAATAAAAATCGAATTCGTTCCGCAGGGAACCGAAATAAAATCAAATCGGATCAAAGTTGATATAAAAAACTGAATGGTTATAGTTTTTCTGTATCCGAAATAACCGAATCTAAATATAATTGAATTGAATCCGAACCAATCCAAATTGGTCACTCCTTACCACAAGATTGCTTAGAACTAAATGTTCTATTCAATCCTATGATGGTTACACCATAGCATTACATATATACGCAAGCTGACCAAAATTTTGAATAAATGGCTCTGTGTTTTTTGGAATTATGATGGTTACAACATAGTTACTATAATATCTCAAATACGAACAATTAGGCATGGCGCCTTATCCAATATCAACAATGGTAGATGTAGCATCAATACATTTGTTTTTTTTTTTTTTAATTCATATTGGAATTTTGTATATATTTGTTCATGAATTTATAACAATCTCTTACCGAAAACGAGGAGAGTTGTTCGAAGAAGCCAGCAGTTCGGATACTTTGGTTACATGTCTCGGAGGACTTTGCATACGTCATTAATATATTTGTAATTACATGTTTCATGAAATACGAAAATAATTATTGGTTATTATTTTTATACGAGTGAATCATAATGGGGTAATTGTTTACAATCAGAAAAGTAAAACCGGCACTTAATTTTTTCCTAATCCAGGCTCTTTCCCGGATAGACACACCACATATGTACAAGTGGTTGTAACATATCCTAGAAAAAATGGTCAACTTAGATCGGATTCGGACGTACGATTTTCGATCCGATCGATATCGGATTTCGTCGGTTCTCGTTTCGTTACGTTCCTCCGTTAGTCTACTTTCGGATGGTGCAAAAATTACGAGAATCTAGTGCGAGCATTCTCCGAAAAACCAAATATACTTCAATACTATCGAAACAAACCCTATTTTTGACCTATCTCTCTTCTGAATCGGATTTCTCATAAACCCATGATCCGTTTTAAACGGTTAAATAATCGTTCGAAACCTCATAGAATTACCTACACAATGCAAAAAGAATTATTAAAATCCATCTAGTGTAACGAAAATTATAGAGGAATTAATCGAGTCTAAAAGCACACCAAAACACAGGCACAAGCAGCCATCCACATCCATTGCCGCCTCATGCCTCATCCAAAGTCCTACATCCTACGCTGTCGATAGAGATATATCCAACGGTCCATATTCAAACCTGAGTAGCGATGGCTATCCGCGTACTCAGTGTTTTGACCAATCAGAATCAAGCTTTTCAATGCCGTCTCCTTCACATCTGACTATTTAAATCCAACATTTCCGTTGATCTCGTCATCCACATCAGTTTTTTTTTCTCTCACATAAATCGCGTTCTAGTGTTAGCGAATTGAAGTTTTCGATCTTTAATCCCTAGATTTCTGCGAAATCGGTCTCAGAGATGTCGGCGGAAGAGAACAACACGACGGCGGTTGTGGATTCCGGTGCGGAAAACGCGGTGGAGACGGAGCCGGCGGTTGAGAAGAAACCGGCGGCAAAGTCCGGGAAGGGGAGGAAAGTCAAGGATGCTAAAGCGAAGAAGCCTGCGGCGAAGGCGGCTCCGAGGAAGCGAAGTGCTTCGGCTCATCCTCCTTACGAAGAGGTAGTAGATTTGATCTGTGGATTTTGAATTTTCGTTTCGTTTTTGGGTTTTGAGATACGAAATTGAATTGTTTTTGTTTTTGCTGTGTTGTTTGATGTAGATGATCAAGGATGCTATTGTGACGTTAAAGGAGAGAACTGGATCTAGCCAGTACGCGATTCAGAAGTTCATCGAGGAGAAGCACAAGCAGCTTCCTCCTACCTTCAAGAAGCTCTTGCTGCTCAATCTGAAGAGGCTCGTCGCCGCCGGGAGATTGGTGAAGGTAAAAGCTTCCTTCAAGCTTCCGTCGGCCAGGTCGGCGACGCCGAAGCCGGCGGCAATTGCTCCGGCGAAGAAAAAGGCAACCAAGGCTGAATCCAAGTCGAAGAGCAAGCCTACTGGTACGATTAAAACCAAGGAAGCTAAGGGGGGATCTAAGAAAGCGGCAGCTCCTGCTGCGGCCAAACCCAATACTACTGCTGCTGCGAAGAAGCCTAAGCCCAGTGCTAAACCTAAATCCAAATCTGTTACTGTTGTGTCAAAGACGAAGAAGGCTGCTTCACCTAAGCCGAAGGCCAAAGAAAGACCTGCTAAGGCATCGAGAACATCGACAAGAACATCTCCAGGCAAGAAGCAGGCGGCTCCGAAGAAAGCAGCTGCGGCTCCGAAGAAGGCCCCGGTCAAGACAGTCAAGCCAAAGACGGTAAAGTCTCCGGCGAAGAGGGCATCAACCCGGCGGGCAAAGAAGTAAGATGGAGAATTTAGGTAGTCTAAAAGAGTGATACTGATAGCTTATCTAGGGTAGTCTTTGTATAATTGAATGATGATCCTAAAGGCCTTGGGTTTCAAACCTTTTTTTACCTTGCTTTCTTCTTCTTTTGTGTTAGTTTTTTTCATGTAATTCATCTTTGCTTGAAATTATGGTGTATTCATAGATCATGTGAATGATGTGATGGGTTCTTCCTCCTAACTTCTCTAATCTGTTGAAAATTCCCCATCTTACGAGCAATCTTGTTAAGCGATCACATGGTTTTTCATATCAAACGCGTGGAGGCTGTTTGCAGCTGTTTCCTGAGGTTGTCTGTTGATTGATGAAGCCTTTGTTCCATGGCATGGGAAAACAAGAGCAACAATTTTGTGGCATTTGGTTTGTTGTGTTGCACATGAGAATGTTCTTGTCTGAATTTGAGGTCTAGAGGCCAAAAGGGTATCGTCGTTGTGGAGTCTTCTTCTCTTAGCTGTTGTCTAACTGTCGGTATCTATCTGCAATAGGCAAAGAGTTTTCAGTGATGTGGGTATGGCTTCTTCTTTTATCAAGAATTGCTGTGGAGGAACTGAACTGAACTGAACTGGGTTGTTGTGATCTTTGCAAGACGAAAGTGCGAAAGAGGTTTCCCAAGTTGCAAAGACAACACCACGGCTTGGGCAAAATGTAAGTTACTCATCTGGCATGTTCTGCTTAACAAACATTGCCTTTACATTCTGTGTCATGTCGATGCATTTGTCTGTTTAAGCAAATATTTTAGATATCATATGCCTTAACAATCTCATATGGGCAGCTCTGTTTTCCGCTTCAAAACATGCAATGTTATCTATATCCACTTGGTATGCCTCTTCTCTTCCTTTTCGGTTTCTCTGGAAACTGGGGCTTTAGCTGTTTGATGTTTAGGTACTTGCATAAAAGAATCTGTAGATCATTAAAAAAAGCTAAGAAAGTTGAGGCCTTTTCTATCTTCTCCTCAGTGGCAGTGCGCCCTATCGTCCTTATACTGTTTGGATCTTTCGACCTTCTGAATCGAGTATTTGAGCTCCTGCTGGATGTTAAATCTGGAAGGGGAAAGAACAATATCTTTCCAAATGGATCCCGCTTCGCATGCAGGATTTGGGCGATAGTAGAGCTCGTAAATGGATTCTGCGTTCTCGTTCAACCTTCCTACTCTCTTCAAACAGTCTATTTCCTCTGGATCAACTAGCAGCGTCTTGTCCTTCTCTTTCCAGCCTATCAGCTGCACAAAACCATCTTCCTGTTAGTATTACCTTTCTTTCTACATGCTTAACCCATCATTATACTGTAGTTAAACTCTCTCTTACAGCTTCTGTTTCAGGTTTTGGCTTCTGAGTGTTCCAAAGAAGAAAGAGAGTGTTCTAACCTTTGGAGGGCCTTCGAGTGCATTGGTGCAATACAACCGGGCATTGTCAACGAGGTTGCAGTACGTTGAAAAAGCATCAGCAAACCTCTTGTGGGATCTCAACTGAGATCGCACCCTAACCGCTCTTCTGCACATTATAGCTCTCCTGCAATGTGGACAGTGAGTGGTGTTAAAAGAGACAGAACAAAATCGATTGCTTGGAGCATATTATTCGGCACACAGAGACAGGTATGGCGCTAACCTAATGCCTCTTATGACAGCCAAATATGCATCACACACAACTCCGACCAGCTCTATCCTATATGGCTTTCTCATCTTTCCATCCTCTTGCAGCTGCTGTTTCTCCCCAATGCGCTCCCAGTAGTTCTCAGTGACAACTCCGTTCTCACCAACCTTGTACCCGGTTCCCATCCTGTAACGATGTCTGTGCACGTTTCTGGCCATTGTTACGGTCTGCACCACAAAGGGTACCCAAGAGAGGGTTCCATCCATTATCACATCTCTTCCCTCGTTGAGAGCTGTCACTAGTAGCGATGATGCTGCATCTGTTGATGACTGGTGAACCTGTTCCCATCCCACCGTTTTCTATGTCAGCCTTTCACGAAGGTAATATCGATGAAATGATAAAATAACCTTTTTATGGATATATGTATATGAACTAATCATTTTGATAACATCATGCAAGTTATTGATAACTCGGCATATATGCCCTTGAGTTTTGAAAGGACTCTAGGTGTGATCTACTCCTAGATCAGAGATAATTTTCCATCAAACATAGATCCAAGCCCACTTTCAGCATTGTGTTGATATTAAATTCCGATGCCAATAGCAACTGTTCTTGACTAAGGTCTCCAACTGGTAGGCGGAAATGGACCATTTTAAGGACAACAACTGTTATGTTCTATGCTTGTTTCTGAAACTTGATTTCTTTTCACCTGTTAGGAAATTAAAGATTAAAAGCCTTACCAGCTCAGCTGTTTGCAGCATATCGACGTGGCCTCTAGAACTCAGGGCCCTGTAGATCACATCGGATTCTTTGAAGGCATCAGCTTCGATCACGACTGCATCTGCTCCTGCCCAGAATGGTCTAATCCCGACAAAGAAAACACTCGGATGATCAATAACACTGGTTATCTGACAAGATTCAGTTAAATATCTGAAGTGAATCTTGGAGGCTTTACTCTTTGAGAATGTCCTTGAGGACAGTGCTCTTCCCTGCACCCATCCCTCCACCCATGAGGAGTAGAACTGGGCTTCTGTCCTTATGCGCCACTGGAGCCATGACTTCCGTACACTCCGAGTCATCTACCGACGCAATCCCCATCGCTCTCATTTCCTCTACCAGCGTGTTGAAGACTCTTGCCACTTTCAGATTCTTTGTCACCCTCTCGAATCTCTGTTCCCTGTAACCAGACAGAGGAGGAAAATCAAGCGGGATTCAGGTGAAGTTTTCAGATACAAGATCTGGTTTACTCTACTTACCTTGTGGCAGCCATTACAATGTGCTTGAGTTTCCTCTTGGGCTCGGCGTCGGCACTGAGTATCTGAGATTGACAAAAGGAAAAATCCGAAAAAATGGAAACAGGGAAGAAGGATTGCTCATTAATGGTTTCGCTCTATGTAAAGGAGAGGGGATCCATTAGGATTTTTCTTTCTGCAACCTGACTGATCATGAGATCGGCATGGCTCCAGTGGTAAGCAAAGTAGCTGAGGATGCATCTCTCGAACTCCTCGACGAGCTTAATGAAGAGGGAATCGGCATCAGGTTCGTCTGAGAAAAAGCTGTATATATCTTCCTCACAGCACTCCGATTTTCTGATGTATTCCGTGGCCAGCTTGCAGAGATGGGGACATTCCCTCCTGTCCTTGAAACCCATCTGCCTCGCTGCGTTTAGGAACAAAGCATCGAGATCTATGAGATGGATAGCGAGAGAATCGATCCATACAAGAACAGAGGAGAAGAAGAAGGGAGATGCATTACCGACGTATTGGGAGAATCTCTCGAGCTTCTCATGGCCCTTGTGCTTGTGGGACAATCTGAGGCGAGGAATGATCTTGGAATGGCGTATCTTCCGGAGACGGAAATGAACGGCGGCCGCGATGATCAAACCGATGGAAGAGACGACGAATATCTGTGTGAACCTGTCTGAATCCCGAATCGTAAGACACATCGTAATATGTCAGCATGTATATTATGCCAAGAAGATGATGATGAACAAAAAGGAGGAGATGGGTAGTAAGATGAGAAAAGAAATTGTCGTTAGCCTCTCTGCATAACGTTGAGGGTTGGATCATGAAAGAGAAGTTTGGTCAGATGTTTCGCCATTGTTTCTCTCGTGTGTTTTTTTTTCTGTTAATGTTGGGAGACAATGTATCTGGTGCCTACACGTGTCACCACCCCATTGACCTCCCTCCCCCCACTGAATTTTTCCACGTATTGGAGAATTCACGCCCTGCTAAAATAGCACTGTCCGAATTCTCCGCAAAAAAAAAAAATTAAGGCTGATAAATATTGAATTGTAATCGATAATCTTGGAGGGGCAAAACAGTCTTTTTGAGAAGCTCATATACCAGAAGGCAGAAGCAAATATTCGACAAGGGAATTGAGGTAACTTGAGTAACAAGTTATCCTTCTCTGTTTTGTAACAAGACTGTTTTAATCACGTGTTTCAATGCGTTATTGCAGAAACTTTTAGAAACCGTTTGTAAGACTGGTCAGAGCCACACCACTCGTAATCTTTTTCCTTTTGGATTTTTTTTTTTTAAAATTTGCCATAGGGATGGTAGTGAGATAAGGAACAGAGATATACGACACTAAGCTGTGACTTGAGAGCTTCCATGTCTGAGAATCTTTAAAAACACCATTCCCTGGTTTAGTTTTAAACCCAGAAAAGGTTGCTTTAAAAACAGCCCCAATCATCTCAAAGATCTGATCAAACACACAATTCTAATTGTAGCTTGTAACCCTTGAAAGAACCCTAAACCCTAAAAAAAGTAATGGCCGAAAGAAAACTCCATCATCAGAGCTATATAGGAGCAGTGCAAGTTGTTCTGAAATGACCTGTCTGATTACACCTGCTACAGTGAACCACCCGTTTCATCCGTCGGCCACCTTCCTCAGCCTGGCACCGTCTCTTCCTCGGCCGTGGCTGCGGTCTCAGCATCTTCGGCGGTCCTATTACAACCTCGTCATTACCCCCTTTCTCTCTCTCCGATCCCGTCTCTGTCTCTGTCTCCTTCCACAGAGCTTTGTCCGGAACCGGGTGTATGGTTTCTGAGTATGTTCTTCTGTAACTCGCCACCGTGAACCAACTCTCCGTGAAGCGGTAGACATTCTGTCTGCAAGAAAGGAGGGCCGCGACCGCGTGGCTGCAGGGCAGACCGCATTGCTGCCATCCACGGCACAGGCAAGAACGATTCCGGATGTCCACTATGAAGTTCCCTTGGTTGGTCATGACCTCGAACTCCGCCTCGTTAGCTCTGTGAACTCGGTGAACCCGAGACTGCTCTATGGCCTCGAGGACATGTCTTTCGGCGGAGGGGACGAGTATTCCAGACCACTGCATACTGATTTCACGGCGTTCGTTGAACAATGTCATCAGCTGGCGGCGGATACATTCCATCATTTGGATTATCGGAAGGCCCGAAGCATCCTGGATCCAAGTGTGGAGCAGCTCGCTTACGTCGTCGTCCGCCGTTAAATGTCCAAACCTTGTCCCTTCAAAGTATGCCGAGGCCCATAGAGCAGGAGAGATGTTACGTACCCACAAGGCGGCTTCTGGGGATATCTGTTCGACCTCATGGATCTTTGTTTCAAAGTCGAGGAAGGTGAGCGAATGTGCAGCCTCTCGAAGAAGGGTCACGAGAGTAGGGTTGTTGAATTCCTTACGGAAGCATTCCGCGAGATGATGAACACAAAAACCGTGAAATGCCGTCGGGAAATTAGCTTCGACTCCATCGACAATGACCTTCTCCCTACTAGACAAGATAGTGAGCCTAGGCATGTTCTCCGAGTTAATTTCGAGCAGCTGATGCAATTCCAACAGAAACCAGTGCCAGTTCCTATCGTTTTCCTCGTCAATAACGGCGAATGCCAGAGGAAAAACAGCGCCATCTCCATCAAAGCCAGTGGCAATAAGCAACGTCCCGAGATATTTGCTCTTCAGAACAGTTTTATCCAGCGCAATAAGAGGACGACAAGCATTTAGGAAACCGCTGATTGATGCTCGGAAGGAAATAAATAATTGTTGGAAGCTCCCATCAACCGGGTTTCCATGGACAGATGCAATGCTTCCAGGGTTTGTACTTCTGATTTGATCACAATATTGAGGAAGAAGACGATAATCTTCTTCAAATGACCCACGAAACGCAGACATTATACGTTCTTTCCCCCTCCATGCTTGCTTGTATGAGAGTGTGATTCCATGAACTCGATGGATTTCCTCAAGTATCTCCTTAGGCTTGTAATGCGGATTCTCCTTCAGCCTTTCTGTTACAACATCAGCAACCCATTGAACCGAAGCTTGATGATGACCGAGATGTGCAATACCACCACAAGTGTGACTCCCGTGAATAGTCCTTATCGTAAAGGTCGGTACACCAGGAAGCTTGGCACAGTGAATCCGCCATGGACAACCCTCGCCCGTGCATTTTGCAGTGAAGCGGGTTTTGTCAGATTTGACAGTTTGCATCTCAAAGCGTAGGGCAATTGCTGCATCTCTCAGTGCTCTTCTACAAGCATGAACATCCGAGAACTCCCGACCAACGGTCAAGTCATGCTCAGGGGATGTAAGAAGAGGCCGGGAGGATTGAATGATGTCGGGAATCATTTCTATTGACTGCGACATACCAGTGATCGGGGCAGGTATAAGATTATCCCTGTTCATGCTATGACCCACTGCCAACTGCAAGTTATCATTGAGCTCCTGAGATCCTATTATACCTAGCTTGTCATTCTCTGGTGTTCCCGAGCCATCGTTATCGGGAAAAGAAATATCGAAAGCATGGTCGTAGATCCCACTCTGGTTATCATGAGAATCAGCCTCGTTTTCTCCCTCCAAGCTTTGCCCTTCACGTATTTCGTCATTATGTATCTGTGGGTCTGTATGAGGTACTACCTTATGCTCCTGGTTATGATTCCAAACCCCATTTTGCTCACGAGAAAGGCCCATATGTAAATTGGAATCCTGTATCTGTTCCAATGCAAAGTTGTAGTCATGACCAGGAAACAGTTCATGGTTATTATGCCTAATCCCGGCAAAATGCTCCTGTCTAAAGGAGACATCTCGGTTGCCAGCAATCATCAACTCCTGGTTTGCCATTCATATACAGTAACACAGATTTGGGCTTAGCAATGCAGAAACTATATATGCTTCCACGATGAATCACCTGTCAGTGGGGAAAAAAAGTACGAATTAAGGCAAGGAAACCGATGGCAAGAGCGAGATGTTACAGTAACTGCTAATAGTTTTCTTGCTGCACAAAACTTTATAAATGCAGATGACCAACGTTAAGATTTAAAAAAAAAAGCAAACACCAGCAAACCAGATTCAAGATAAACTAAAAGAAAGAAGATAGCTATGGCCATGAAACTAAATGGAAACAGTACCAGATATCCTTCCTAGTATCATCCACCCAACAACATGGAATCAAATATCTTTCTCATTATAAGGACCAATGTTTAAATCCTTTAGCTTCTAACAATGAACCCTTCAAGCACATACCAATTACCAAACGCAGAGTAATTAGCAACCAGTAATCCCCAATTTTGAAACAGAGGGCCAATACATAGACAAGACTATATACAATCTGCATTCATGGGAAAGATGGAGCTCGAGGGGCGAGAATGATTTCAACCCCCAAGCTTACCAACTAGTTACTGTTCTTTGGTATAATCTTCTGCAACCTTTTATGCGTTTGCCACATTATCCCCACAGCAACAAACACAGATAAAATACTATCCTCTAATTCCCTAGAAACCTAATTTACTGAACAGAAGTGTCATGTCAAGAGGGTACTAAAGCATCGACGTAGAATTATGCATCACCCAAAACCAGTATCATGAATAAATTCCAGAAAACGAAAAAAAAAAACCTATTCCAGCGGAGGGATTTCTGGGTTTGGACCCTCGAGGTCGTCAAAGGACGAAAACAATGATTTCACCCTTCAATCCTCGACCACGAAAAAAAACCAAAATTTCCCAAATTGATCACGCAAACGCAGAAACCATCAGGTCTAATTTCATCCACACAGAGAACAAAAGCGATTCCCCACGAAGCAAAACAAGATTCGACGAGAAATCGGAACTCACGAATTGAGATTGGAGCAGAACCCACGAAATCCAGGACGGAGAGAAAAGAAGGGCTTGAATCAGCGTTTGAAAGGGAGGAGAAGTTTGGCGGGTAAGGCAGGGTTTAAGGGGGAAAATCTGGGGAAGGAGAAGGGCAAAGACGGAGAAGGGATGGGAATAACGAGGGCCAAAAGGGCACACACACACAAAAAAAAAGACGTAGTAGCGCAAGGCCGGTAGGGATATTCAGGGGTAGTTTCGTAAATTCAACACAGTAACCTATTTCAAGAATGATACGATACTAAGATAAATCCGACGAATAATAGCAAGACTGTACATTATATTTGTGTAGCAAATTAGGAAAAAGAAAAAAAAAACAAAAAAGAATCTCTTTTGAAAATATTAACTTTACCAAAACTTCCAAATTAGATACTAAAATATTCAATTCACAATAATAAATATAAAGTTGTGACAGACTTCCAAATAAAAAGCTTTGACAAACTTCCATATAAAAATGCAACTACTAAAATTTTACTAAATACACTTTTGGACTCTAAATACCGTTAACCGTGCAGTCTACCATTTAGATGGTTTTTTTTGGCACATCATATTAAAATAATAAAAAAAGGAAATAAAATAATACAATAGTAAAAATGATAAAAATAACATCACACACACACCCTTAAATACATACATATTCAGATATATACATACATAAATACGTACACATATGTGTATATATGTAATTAATTTTAGAAATTTTGGTAAAGTTTGAATTTTTTCTATACAAGAATGTTGAACTTGGTTAATTTTGTACATGAAAGATTTACGACAAGACCAATGTGAAAGCATATTGAAGATGACAACCTTCCCTTGTTGTTCTCTTTGAAAACAATATGAGGAGCTTTCTTACAGAAAGGAATTAAGCATTATGCATTCCCCAAAACCCTATAGGAAAGAAGAACTCAAAAACCCAAAAGCCATGTGAAAGACGGAACTCAATCACACCCCCAAAACACACACGCACACGCAAACTTTGCACTTCTCCACCAAATTGCTCTCTCTAGTCATTCCCCTCGGCCCGAGATTCAAATCAATTACCCGATATTCCTCATTCAGATGGTATGATCTATCTCCCCGGGAGACGTCGAATCTTTCCCCTGTAATTTTCTCATCTCTTACCAATCGCGATCAATAGCTGTGGATGGATCAAAATCTTTGGGAGGAATTCCGAAACAATGCTGACCGACTGTATGTGACGAGGAAGCAACTCTTGCTTAGACTGAATCAGCAGGGTGATGACACCTTCATGCTAAACCTTTCGAGTTCGAGCTCTGTAAGCAATTCAGAGACGACCTTTTCCATGGAGACTCTTTCTACCCTACTGCTGCTGCTGCTGCTGCCGTTTATTACACCTTTGGAAAGCAGAGTTACGTTCGAGCAATCTAGATTTTCAGACAGCAGTTCCTTGCAAATGTCATGGTCATCGTTCAGTTTTGAAGCCTTCATGAGATCAATGACTTGTTGCCTTCTTGCCACATTTCTGCCTGCACCAGATCCCATTGCAGTAGCTGCCCCGACAGCATTTGCAATTGTTAGGGTGTTAACCAGAGGCATGTTGCGTATGAATCCCAGTGCAATAGCGGCCACGAAACTATCTCCACATCCGACAGTGTCAATTATGTCCACCTGATGGTATTATGGAACAACACTTGGAACATTACACAGGGCAATCATCAAATTTGTTCAAACAGAACACAATCCCATATCCATCTAGGAACCTTGAAGTTGACCAAATGAGCACACTTATATGAACATCAAATGAAAAAAAAAGAAGGCCAGTAAACCTATAATTATTAATACCTTAAACGCAGGTGCCAGTGATACACTGGACGTGGTGATTAAAATAGAACCTTTAGAACCCATTTTTACTATTACCCACTTCGTACGCTTTCCACTCCTTAGAATCTGTTGTCCTGCCTGTACAGGGTTTCTGATGCCAGTCAAAGCCTCTGCCTGAGCACCCATCAAACAAGTTGGTGATAATTTTGATCAGTTGCATTCTGAAAGTAATAGGCTAAACTATTCAGCAGACATATCAAAAGCCACATTCCTGCAAATAAGACATCACTTGTCCAGAACTGCAGAGATTCAGGATTGTGGGGGGTCAAATAAGACTTCAAACGAATCAACATGGTACTGAATGCTGAGAATAATGAAGGAATTTCAGATGCTTGACATGTTGAGCAAGTGACTTTGCTAAGTGAAATAGCAAGACATTTAAAGAGGGCATGTGGGTTTTAAAAGGAAAGAATGTCGTCAATAGACAACCCGTCAATGTCACAATTTCCTTCCTCGTCCCTTTCTTCAGGACAACTGCAGGTGTCAGTTGAATGAGACGCAAATACACTCACAAAGCCTAGAATGGAAATGGTGAACCGAATTGAACATGCAACAGCCAAAGCGGAGGAAGGTATCAAACACAAAAAATAAACAAATTTTGTTAAGGATATTTTCCCCGACATATAGAGCATACCTCTTCAGATGTCAGAAGAAGAACATCGCTCATTCTTAATAAGTGCACAAGTGCTTTCTGCTTCTCAGGAGTTCCATTGGCGAGGCTATTTCCCCGTGGTCCAGGATCAAAGAAGATATATGTCCCAACTTGTGTAGCATAATCTATGGTTGACGTGATAAAACTAGGGCTTAATTCATCAAAGTCATAACCATTGCAGAAAAGAACCTTCGACTGTCTAATTGCCGTCTTCACTTCATCTGACAGATCGGTTATCCAATTGAAAGCAGGTTCCTGGTAATAATCGGCTGGACTGAAAAATAGAAGCATAAAGCCCTCAGTACTCCTTGTAGTGGAGTTCCAAGAATCAAAAGGAAACCAAAGTCATTCGAAATAATTACAAAGGAATCACTATCATATGTTTCACCAAGGGAAAAGCCATGTATACAGTTTTTGGAGATAAATGTGAAAACAAAATAATACCTGGTCATGCCTAAAGAAATTACTTTTGAGAAAGCCAAATGGGCTTTGCCAAGAAAAGGAAATAAAGTGATAAACCTAAAGCTGTGCATCCTAAATTTTTCCACAATGGCTATCAAATGCTATGAATTTGTATCAGTAACTAGTCTTCTTCAACAAGATTGCTCCTCGCAGCAGCATGAGGATCCATTCATCAGACACCATCAAACATGGCCATACCATAACATCCACCTTCATCATACATCTAGGTTTCGGTACTCACACAAGGTTCTTTCCAATTTCATTCTATACTACACAAAAAGTTAAGAGATGAAATTAAAAAAAAGTACCTGCAAAAGGCATGCCTCTGCAAAGAATCCACAAGAACCCAACAAAGAAGAGTCTGATACTTTGGACGAGGATCCATGGCACTTTTTTCTCTTCTCATCTCAACCATATCTATTCCCTCTTCTTGGAGCACGTCTAAAAGGAACTCTCCATAGATCTCATCACCCACATGGCCAATTGCAACACATTTAAGTCCCAGTCTAGCAGCAGCTATAGCCATATTACAGTTCCCACCAGCTTCCCAGTATTTCTATGAGTGCAACAGTACAACCAAACTTCAGTAATAGTCCTCCAGCATAGGAGTATGAGATAATCCGGGAAAGAAAGAGAGTCAGCTGGATATCTCGAAGCATCTCGCAACACAAGTCTCTTCTTTTCATACTATTTAGCCCCGATGGTAATCTCACGTCTAAAACTAAAGAAACGAAAAGAAGCACAGTTTTGTTTATATGTCTAACAATCTTTAATTTATCATCACCTTCAGCAATATTTATGTTAATACAATGGGGTGAAAGCAGTATAATCATCAGAAGCCCGACAATAAGGACTTTTCAACTTTCCGTGACTTGTGAAGTTGATGCATACACATTTGCGGAAAGGGCGGAACAAAGACTTATCTTCCGCAAATACAGACTCTCACCAATCCATATTGTCCCAAAATTCTCTAGTTTCATAAATTAGTATTATGTCTGACTACCCAATACAACCTCTTACGATTTTATACAATAAAAAATTCTCTAACTTAATCAATTAGCTTTATGTTTGATTGCCCAAGTAAGTACAGCCTCTAAACAACAATAACTAGACCACAAACACAAATTCTCCTATTTCATCAATTACCCTTATGTCTGATAGCCCAAATGCATCCTCTTACCATTGTATATACGCTCCAATTTCAATAACTAGCTTAATAGTCTCATAGTACTTGGTACTCTTTCTCTTGCAACTAACTCGGAAGTCGAATTCCAGAGACGGACAATTAAACAAAAGAAAGGTAAAAAGTTTCTTTGCAAATAAACGAGATGAAGATGTTAGAAGAGATGATACGATAAAAGAGAATAACAACTAATAGCCATAACCTTATCCGGAGGAGAAGCAGAGAATTTGTCCATGAAGGCCTCGCGGTCGCGGCGAGACGGCGGCGGCAATTCGGGAACGCCGAGGACAATGTCGACGCAGAGATTGCCCAACGTTGCAACGTCGATAGGTTTCTCCGCGAGAAAGACCCCCCTGGAATTCTCCGAGATCCGGTCCCCGCCGGAGCCGACGGAAGAGTCGTATCTGACAGGGGAGACATCGGCGGTGGCGGAGCTCCGGCATCGGAGGAAGACGGAGGTATTCACACGCTGGCGTCGAGGGGATGAGGGGAAAAAGGAGAGGAGGCGAGAATTAGGGCTTTGGAGGGAGAAAATTGGGAGGGAAAG